ACTGTGTCTCACGATTGTCATGTGGCTGGACCGAAATGTTGGAAACCGATTTGTCACGAAGCCAGATGCGAAATTAATACATCCCATTTGAGTCTCAACAAATCCCACGTGCTATAAATACACCCCTGGACAGGTCGTTTGCGAAGAATAAGAAGAACATTAATATTCGAAAGACCGTGGACCGGAGACGAATAGACGAAGTTCGTATTCGCAAGAAATGTTAAGCCAAATAAAAGACTGTACGTACCCAGACAGCGGATTACTCAAAGTTGACACGATTATAACCACGTGTACACTGGGAATATCAAAACTACTTACTTGTCTTTAAAGTGAGATGACGACACGAGGAGAGGATTGGCGTGACATTTAGCACGCAAGGCGGAGGTCCGTGGAAAAGAGACCACTTAAGAAATAAATGCCTACGGTACATTGTAAGATAATATTAAAAATGATCGTAATAAAACTAGGTAGAAGAGTGTGACGACTTTAATCAGTTTTAGTATGGGAACCGTGTGAGGTTTTTGACCAGCTAAGACACTGTAAGCTTCTCGTGGGGGACTGTGCTCAACGGCGTCAGTGACTTATTTCTCGTAGGCTGTTACTTAAACTCAGTGATCGTACGAAGACAGCCTCAAAGAACAACACTAACATCGCAGCCGTGAGAACCTCAGAGCTCATTTTTTTTCCCATCAGATCCAACATTTTATGAAAATAACACAAGAATGTAAATGCAAGTTTATGTTCCAGTGTTCAATCAGTGATACCAACATGTCGGACAATTTGTATGCACGGGAGAGTACTGAAGATGGCGGACAAGCGATCAGTCCGTGCGTCACGCGGACATACAAACAAAACGAAAACATGAGTCACAAGAATTAGCATAATTTTGTTACGATCGTAACATTTTATGCAAGTTTTATTTTTTTTAGTAAGATGCCGCTGTGCGATCCCTTTGTTACTCCCCATGTAACATTCACTTTTACTGCTGTTTAGAACCACCGAGGAGATTTGTCAATGCCTGCTCCCGGTTTATACCATCAGACACTAGTCCTTCTGGATGCAGTAAGAAACAAATTCTCAGTCATGCCTGTCCGAATCATACATCGGCTACCCAGATACCCCTCAGGCAGAGTGGTCAATATATCAACCACCCACTTCACACCATCCCGCAGCCCTGAATTTTGCCCAAAGAGTGCATAAGTTTTTTTTTCTCTTAATAAACAGAAATTTCGTGAGATTTCAGGTTCTCAAGGCGACGTTTAGAAAGATGTCTTCAGCTTCTTAACAAGGACTCTGCTACGTGGAATGAGTTATTTGGTTACAGGACGGTGATAATGAATATACAATTTTGGTCAGAAAACTTGATGATGATAAAGATGATTATGATGATTACAATCGCGATGTTAGAGACAGAAAACTCATGTAAGAACGTGATGATAATGACAGTGATTACAGTGGTGATTGTTCATGGTGACTGCATCAATTTATTTTGTCTATCCTCCCCGCAAATAACATTAGTGACTGAGAAAAGCCATGACCATTTCTTCACGCCCTCGTGTCGTTGGACGGTATGTAACATCAACAGTTGATATGGTGGAATTAAACTAAGAAGGAGAAGGAAAGTGGATCAGTCGCCTGAGTCTGAAGAAAAGTTGAACGTAAGAATGCATTTTTTTCAGTAAGTTGAATGCTGGGTGAAGACTGTACCCTACCTACGACGCCAGTGGCCATCACACTTTCAGTTCTCATCACGAGCTTTGGGGTTAGAGGCTAAACTGCACTTCCATGCATCGTTACGTAACAAGATACGTCATTCGTCTGTCTACATATGCCGCCCGCAAACAGACGGTTCCCACACGTTCGCCAGATAAGAGTTTTTAACTGACGGGACGAAAGACGCTCCATCATGTACTGCTCACTGAGCGTTATCGCGAGCTTCCTCAGTACATGAGGACTGATAGATGAATCAGATACGAGCGCCGTCCTCGATGTCTTCAAACTGAACAACTAGTCCCCAACTGGATTTGGGGTTTCCGTGGTTTACGTTCGTCTAAAACGCATCGTTACGTTAATACAAAGAAGTGTCTGGAATGCTTTTGCACTCAGGGTTCGTCTCTTAAAATCTCACGAGGCTACCATGTTAGTAAATTTCATAGTAACAAAACCATCAGGGATCAAGAAGGATGCCATGGGAGACGCATACAGCTCGCATGAGGAAGTAAGAATTGGTTAAAAAAATGTTAGCCTGAAAATCCGAAGGGACGAGAAGATTTTGCAGACCTAGGTGCAAAATGGAATGATAATATTAAAGCGGTTTTTTACAAAAATAGGAAGTTGGAGGTGTAGACTGGATTCATCTGCTTCAGGATACAGACTGGCGGTGGGCTGTTGTAAACACGGTAATGAACATCCTAATTCCATAAAAGCCGTGGATTTTGTTAACCACTTCAGTGATTATCTTCTTGTAGATAATGAATCCGTTCCACTGGTTTTATTACAGTTATCATTTGTTTTATTATACAGTGTTAAGTTCGATAAGCAATAAAACCGGTTATCATTAATGACTCGAAGTAAGGACTTCGCAAATACGAGACAGAACCATCGCCAAGTCCCACGTTAGATATCGGGCTTAATAACGCGGACAGAGCGGTTAGTTCAGCGCACAAAGACACTGACATGACGGCGCCACAAGCACCGATTTCTTTGTATAATTGAAATTAATTAATCCTGTAGGCAGAAACAGGTAATTGCAAAGCATCTAACACAGAGATTCTGCGTGTACACAGTTGGTAATACTGTTATGTAAATCTGTATCATCTCCCGCTCACCAGACAGCTATGATGGTTACGTGGTGGAATCCAATTCATGCGTAAAAGATATTTACACTCAAAGTATCTTTTTTATTTTATTTATTTAGTGTTCTGTCTGAGGACAGGTCCATATGAACAGGATCCTTCCATCCTTTTCTCGGACTGGGACCTGTTCATATACGTTCTTGGCAGATGATCCAGAAGTGGTTTGCCATTGCCTTCTTCTGTGTGTGAATGGAGTAATTGTTGGGATGCCACGGAGGAAAACTCCGTGTTGCCTAGACCACGGCCTTGCCCAACACAAGTTATAAATTCGGGCACCGCCGGGAATCGAACCCGAGACCCCAGGATTACAAGGCCAGCGTTCTAACCGCTAGACCACCGTGGCCACCGTAAAGTATCTACGAGAATGAAATTATATGTTAAAACAAATCAGACTTCAGGATCATATATGAATTCGTGTTAATGTTCTGGCCTGTAATCTAAGTCTCCAAAAAAAAATCACCGTATTTCCCTCACATAATCCACTAACATCGAATAATATTGTGCCACTGTCATGAGTTGACTACAACACACTTCTACATTCTTCGTTTAAAATTGTGGTCCGCGGTTTAGATATCAGTCAATAACGCGTTAAAAACTAAAGGCTAATGAACAGTGGACGCTTCAAAACGACTTCAAGATACCACTAAGTATCAAAAGCATTGCGATGACTGTACATTCTACGGCATGTAGTCTGACAGAAAATGTCCCACGTTTCAGGACCATTCACCTTGACGACAAAGGCGGTAGGCACACGTCTGTCGGTATCTACCAGACTACACGGTATTACATCCCAGACGACAACCATCTTCACAATCATCGCCGTGAGAACCTGAAATCTCACCGTCTAAAAAAATATTTCATTTGAACTAAACCGCGATCAATTTGATTGAATTTACGTAAGATATTGGGAGTGGCGACACTGATGTATTCTGTTCAGAGGAAATCTTTCGGCCCCTTTCTTGTCAGTTATCTTTGTTTGTGTTCTGGTAGTGTACATGTTACATGTTATGCTTGTCTTCACATCTCTCTCTGGGCCAACAATAAATTGCTCCTTGTGCAGGGGAACACGGGTACACCAGGTAGAAGAAGTCTGGGTTAGGTCTTGAAGACCCTGCGTTTCGGAGAGGTCATTTTTATACTGCTGCGTGTAATTAAGTGGGAGACAGCGAAGTGGTTGACAGTCCTGGTTCATGTGCGGGATATTTCGATTTCGAATTTTAGACATCAGTAACATATTTCAGGAGATAAATATCTCCTGAGGTCCTTCCGGGATTAAAAAAAATTTTACGGAGGTAACCGTGGGGTCATAGCCGAGAAAACCAAAATAAATTTTCTTGGTAATGTTCGCGGTTCCTCTAGGTTGATGCCAAGCATCTGAATTGTTTTATATATATAATGTTTCGAGTACTTGTTCTAATTCCATCTTCAGGTACCTCGTTGACATTAAGCTGATGAATATCGCTTTTGATTTAAAATAAGTGGCGAGTGTTAGCTCAATATTCTAAAGGCCCCACGTTTGGTCCAAGACGTCATAATATCACTACAAAAAAAACTACCATTGTCACAAACCTGGAGATAATCATCAGTTACGCTGCACATTCGGTAAATACCATTAACCCATTTTCCCAATATACATTTTAATATTATGATCTTACGTATACTGAAGCCTTGCATTTCCCTCATGTACGCGACGTAACACGACCATCTTGCCTTAGTCAACCTTCAAAGTGATAAATTAATGTTGACATCAATAACCAATTATCTGATATTTCATTTCGCCTAGATCAATCTACGTCTTTCGCCTAAAACTTCAAAAATATAAAACACAGGACGCACAGTTATTCACTGTAGAAAATTAAAAACATAATAATGACGTAGCCACCAATGACACAATATAAGTACAAAATTTAAACAAAATCAGTCCATCGGTTCTCGACTTAAAAAATATTCGGGCAGACAGAGGGACACATAGTCAACGATTTATGCAATTATTTTGTCTAAAAAAAACTCAGATTTCTTCGCCTGTCGTGTTTCAGATAAGATGTTTAAAATGCGAAATTACGTATTATTTTCTTGTTTCCACCACGAACGCTACATATCTTGTTAAAATTCAACAAAAGTATAAAATTTGCAGCTGATACTCACTTTGATGAGACCTCGTAATCCTATCCTGGGACTTTCCGACAAGCACACTTCCTGCAGTATAAGAAGAACGCCTAGGATGACTGACCCAACCCTGGAGATGGAAGCGTGGCGGGTCAGAGGTCACCACTAGGGTGCTTCACCCTTATTTTCTTCTTTACCACCAACAGATCTGAAACACACAGACAGACATGGAGAGTCTCACAGATAATAAACAGCCAAATACGTTTCGCTTAGACCCTCTGGAACAGGCAAAGGATTCGAAGGAATGTGAGCTTTCAGGTTCTCACGGCGAGTATGAAGATTACTGTCTTCTCAGATACTGCGTCCTGCAGTCATGGCCCTCATGATGGAAGAAGCAACAACCTCTGAAACGTCGGTCAATTTGTACCGGAGTACATGGCGCAAATACTCAGACGACAGCCGACGTCACATTCGACGCCGGGATGTCGTAAATTTCCTGTTTTCGTCAACGATTACCAAATTCTCAAGACGGCCTTTAATCCACGCATTTAGCCGCTTTCAATATAACTGTGCTTCTTATAATCTCTTAGTATCATTAAAGGTCCACGTAGCAAAAGTAGGTTGTTATTATTATCTTGTACTGAGATTTGTACGTTTTCATTTGTAATAAGACGAGTCATGGGACAAAGTTAAATGCAGTGGCCTTGAACATATCTAAAAGTGTGAGGAGGATTCCAAGCCCCAGTGGGGGCCACCATGAGCCACCTCTATCTATCAAATCAAACGGGGACTCCCCGTAGCGCTGCCTGTCCTGAGCCAGGTGCAACCCTCAACACGTCGCTGTCTCACCCCGTCTCAAAATGTCGCCCGGGTCAGCCGATCTTTAACAACGTCGTGTTCCACATTACCCAGATTCACTGGCATGACACAGCCTTCACTGTCCCCATCGGATATCACTTCGCTTGCTGGAAAATGCCTTCCACAAGGCACAAAATATCACATAAATTTCATGTGGAATTAAAGTCTCAATTATTTTGGTTATAATTGCTTAATAGAACGTTTCCTCGATGGGTAGCAAAGTCTGAGAAAGTAAAATCTCATGTAAATAACATTTAAGAATCCAGTCCGTACCGCGAAGAAAACACCACGCCTCACCATTACTACGATCAACTGGTTAACGCTGTTTAAGGAAATAATCTCGGTTCCAAACGAAACTGGTAATAACATCAATAAACGCATAAAATCGGTCGTGCACTTTGAAGTGTTGACTTACATTTAAAATTATTCATCAACAAAATTTACTTGCAGACGAATTTTGGAGTTCTTTGAACTTACTGAAACAACAGAAACACTGCTGCAAACTTCCAGAAAACACGAACTCGTTGAAATGGATAAAAATTTAAAGAGTTAATAATCAGGACCACGACAAACATCGTGAATAACAAGGAAGGTATCAGTTATTATCTACCGATAAAGGAGAAAGAACCTTCTGCTCCATTCCTGTTTAGCTTGCTAACAAGCTCCAATGCTTGGAAATATGATTGAGGGCTTTTCCCATTATAAAAGGATAATAAAAGAATAGAAATCAAAATAAAACAAATCACCACGCGTAAGCACACAAAGAGAAGTGGAGATGGAGTCCTCTTCACACTATAAACCGATCCGCAATTGGGAAGGACACGTTCATTATGAACACAATTTATTTTGGAACACGTTTTCAATAACGTCTGAGACATGGCCAGAAAAATTTAATTGATTCGTTGGCATTCATTATCAGTGACACTCAGACACAGGGTGGGGCATCGGCCGAACAGAAATTCTGTCCCTCATGAATGGAGCACAAAGGAGGAAGATAAATTCGAAACATTCAGAACTCATTGGAATTAAGTAAGAAACACGTACAAAGTTTTGAAAACAAAACATAAGGACTTTCAGATGAGTTGAGAGGTTTCAGTGTCGGTAGGAGGATTAGAACACAAAGAATTGGTACTTTGAGCTCGTTCTCCGAGGGTAAATCGGCCGGAGCATGAAGATAAAAAAACTCACCATATAAATTCCATCGTATTAAATGAGGCTTGGGCACAGGTGAAAAATATATCTTTACATTTTCCTTACACAAACAGGGTTTAGAGGTGTGTATTTGATCCATCTGGTTCAGGACAGTGGGGGGGGGGGGGGGAAAAACAGCAATAAAACTTGGGTTTCCATCAGTGACAACGGACTTCATTCTCAGCTGATTGGAAAAGCATTCTGCTTATTGTCCGTCTTTCGAGATTCGCTGTGCTTAAGGTGTACGTGAACTGGGCCTTGGAGGTTCTGCATCTTCTTTGGAAGACATTAAACACAAAGAAAGGGTAAAATTTGTATGACTGAATAAAGAAAAACAAAAGGAGGTTTTAGTTCGGAGAAAATGGTAGGAAGAGACAGGTAGAGAGGTGAATAATTATTTATATGTTTCTTGAACAAATAGTGGGGGTGGGGCTCAGTTGGAAGAGGAGGGGTAGAGGGGGGAACAAGAAGATTGATTTAAGAAGAGAGAATGTAGGTGGACGGGGTCACGTGACTGTTGTTACCAACATCGTGTTTACCATTAATAAGATTCAGTGTTCTCACCCTGGCGCCAAACAATTTTGTATCAGTAAATATTCCGAAAACGCGTGCCTCACGCTTACGTGTCCACCTGTGTTTCTGCATCTCACAGCCTCAGTACACAGGGCGTTAGTTCAGTCTCCGGTAAGGAGGGACAAGAAAGTAGACAACAGGCTTCTGAGTTGTTGCCCCGCGTAATCGCCCTGATGATGACGGCGGCAAGTACCTCCGAAACGTCGGTAATATTCTACCGGACTACATGGGGCAACGATTCAGAAGACGACCAGCCATCTTAATACTGGGCGGCGTATCGTGGAAAGTTGGAAAAACTAAAGGCAGGAACTGGGAAGGAGGATTGAAACATAATCTGGGTATTTGTGTGTTTTATTTTACAAGTTGGTCCGTTGTCCTCCGCCCCCCACACGCCAAATGGAATTTATTTGGGATGTTCTTCCCACTGGCGATCCGCCCCGGTCTATTGGTTGGTACATGTCACCCTACAAGGTTAGAGATAAATGGTACTATTAGCTAGACACAATGTCGCCTTATTATGCAGCAGGAAACACACAAATATCCGTTTGTCTTTTCCCTCACTTTGAAACATCCTAATGCGTTATTCACAAGGAAGGAAGGTATTAAAGGTTTCGCCTCCAAAGTGTCAGGTAGAACAGAGTACTAAGTCGAAAGAAAACCTTATAAATGTCGCTTATTACATAACTTAATACACAAGGTGTCCCATTTATAACGTAACCCTAAACACGAACACCTTCAAACAAATTCAGCTAAAAAAAAAATCTGGAAGAAAACGTACACTTGGAAGACCTAGGCGTAGATGGGATAATAATAATGTTACATATAGCTATGAAATCGTTGCCTAGGAAACTGACTGGGATTTAGGTCCATGTAAGCTTATGGAATACAATCCAAAATTCTATGTTCTTGTGATGTCGACTTTTGCAGGGTCCCACAAAACCCATAGTTGGCAGCACTGCGGTTAAATAAAGTTTCAACGAAAACGTCAGGTGTACCAGCGCAAAGAATGGAGGCTGCGATCTTCAAACACCTTAAGGCAATCTTACGGATGACCTCTTTGACCTATGAACTTTACTGGCCAAAAAAATCAAACTCGAGATCTGTGTAAAATGCCTCGTTTCCTACATAAGATAAGGATTTTAATTTCTACTGTTAATTACGCTATTCGGAAAGCTAACAAACATATTTCACTCGTGTCCACCCTCCTGAACTAAGCTCAGGGTGGAATGGTCTTCTGCTGATACCAGTTTGCAGTGACGGTTTGTTATTTGTGGTCAACACAAACATAGTCCCTTGAAGTTTGTATTAACTCCGATATTATTTGATAAATTCTTTAGAATCTCGATGTCTATTGGTAACTATATGTACCACCTGTTTTAACATTCAATTATTCGTAATTTGACGCAGAGAGTATATTTATATTCTTCGTATGTTTCTCAGAATAAACAACTAAGTCCACCGGCCGAGTTTTGAGAGCCTGATAGTACGCTGAGCTAGCCAAGATATTCGCCGGATTTTAAAGATCCCAATTGCTCATCACCACCACCACCGTTCCCCATCCTGAGCCAGCTGAATCCAGTTCACACCCTTACAGCCGAGTAAATTCTTTCCAGGTTTCAAAACCAAAATTTCTGTATGTCTCTCATGCGTGCTACATGTCCCGCGAATATGACCATTGATTTAATAATCCTAACAATATTTTTTGAAGATAATAATTTATAGAAGCGTTAATGATTCAGTTTCCTCCTGCGTCATGTCGCGTCATCCCTCTATGGTCAAAATAATGCCCTCGGAGCCTCAATGTGTGTCATCCGCTTAACGCGAGACGCCATGTTTCTCGGCCGCACCAAACAATAATAATTATTCTTATTTTTTATCTGTTAATAGCAACGTTTCTTTCGTCAGAAGAAACACTTGTTGTCGCCACGAGCTCTGTCTGCGGGAATCACGAGCCGCCTCTGACAGCAATGCAACTCACATCTCAACATACGCCTATGGGGCACAAAAAGGGAAAAACATCACAAATTTCTTCTGCCCATATTATTTCTCTTTTTCTATCTGCACAGCCCCCCTGCTGGGCCCTCTAATTGCAGAAGCAATGTGACGAAGGAAAACGAAAAAAAAATCTTAAAATTTGAGAGGGGTTTGACACCTGACTGAGATTTCTTGGACTATTCTTATAAAATATAGTAAGGGGTAGCAGAAACAACCCTGATGCTATCTGTATATGGAACTAAAGGTCCACTTACGAGTCCCTGAATGTTTTCTTCCCACATATCCGACGTTAAATGACAAAACTTGATATTACATGCCATGATTAAATAATTATCAAGAATATCGTTATGAATATTGTGACACCACACGTGTTCTAAACACGTTCCTTAACACAACGAACGTCAGAAAATAAAATTTCGAAAAATTTACAAAACTTCAGATTCTCACGGAGGTTAAGATGTCGAAGTTGTTCCTCTGGATTGCAAAGGCGTGTGGACTTGTACGTAAACACAGGACTAACGTTTCGGAGAAACAAAATGCTTACATCTTCAGGGCTGAAGTGATGAAGAACTGAAGATGGAAAACATTTTG